AAAGGCCTTTTAGTTGGCGGTCCGTCGTCGGTTGCTCCTCTTTGGAATTGACCCAGGCGAAATGGGCCAAGATCTGGTCTATTGGCAAGAGCAAGCTGCGTCGCAGGGGCATTCGCCAACTGGAGAACTCGGTAATCTCGCCGCCGCATCCACGTCTGCTCTCCAACAGCGAGATCATGCTCTCTGCGCTCTTCGGCCTGGCAGACCTCAAGCATGGATAAACGCACTTACAGAGGTAGGTAAGTCTCCTCCCCACTGTATAGTACAGGTGCTAACTTTTTTACTTGCAGAATTACCAAGGCATATACTAGCCTTGAGATAGAAAAGAGGCTTCTTAATCTTAGTGAATTTCCCCCTTGTTAGTTGTTGGTGCTTGCCAGGCAAGAGAAACACGTACTAAGGAGCCCAAGCTAGGGCAGACTAGCCTTGGCCGCGCGGCAGGACAGCCAAGCAAGTAAAAGCTTTGTCTTCAATGGGCTTCTCGCAGAAGATGATAGACAATGCGCGCCTAGAATGGTGGACGAAGCCATATAACATTAATAAGCTCAAGAGCATTTTTGCAAGGTCCCCCTGCTTGGGCTGCCCGAAGGCCCTTGCTTTGCTGTTAACAAGAATAAAAGGTGGTCAGGCTAAAGTGCTTTCCATGCACCCGCCGCTCATTGCGGACTGGTTTTTCTCCTTGCCAGCTAAAAGCTCTGTATCTGCAACTGCTGGAGTCCCTGTTGCTGCCCGCCTGCTCTTGGGAGTGGTCTTTAGTCCTTTACCCGGGGTCCGCTTAATCTCTCCTCGCTGTGCCCTCAACGGCGCTATTTTACCTTGGCCCGTACAGAAAAGCAACGGGGCAAATCCGAGCTTTTGCTCTCTAGGGGCCAGAATTCCGCTTGTTCTTGTGATCTGTGGAGCCGACGGATACTCAACGAACGTGGACCGTCGACAAAACTTGCTTCTGCCGCATTGAGCAATCCACAGACTTCCAGCAACATCATGTCATCCCGGGCGCCCTAGCGAGGCAGTCGGCGAGGTAGGGCGTGTGAAGCCGAAACGGTCCCTTGGATGCGTGGCGGCTGTGCCAATCTGCCATACCTAGGATGGACATAACAAACACGTTTCGAGGCGAGCGACTTCAACAAGCTAACTCATGTGCCTGTAGCTACCTAGGGACCACCGTGCAGCATCCCACTTCAATATCCATCGCGTATAAGACAAGGCAATAGTCTTAGGCAGAGACTGATACGCATGCCTCATCTCATTGAGACGTCGTGTTTGAATATGCCGCCACTTCTCCTGATCGTTGGACAGCTTCACAAAGGCGCCTTCCAAGTTCTTGATTCCATAAAAGCATTACTCGGCTCGCAGTTGATGTGGAGCGGGCTGTGAAGGACGGAAGAGGGGCCAACGCGATACAAGGGTCGCTGTCTCTTGATGACGGAAATGCGTTCAGAGCTTTTGAGAATATCAGATCTCGTTCGTTTTCGCACCGCCCTCTTATCATATTTTAAGCCACAGCTCGCCAGAGACAGGCCTCCAAGCACCTCCACGGCGCAGTTTACAAAGACCAGCTACACTGCAGTCCCTGATGGCGGTGTAAGGACCAAGGCAGCCAGCTCCTGCTGGGTATCATGGAGGCCAAGGCCTGTGTTTGTTATCAGATAAAGCCAAGATTTTGATATAGGAAAGGTCCGAAATACCAGATATGGGACCTTGTTACCATACGAGGCGGTTCGGGAGTTAGAGGTGCAGTTACCCACTGGGAATACCGTGTGATCCTGTTCATTGGCGGAATAAAGGTGTTACTAGGACATGTGGAGTTAAAGAAGAACACGGATACGCCTGCTACTCTGGATAATATCCTTAAAATAGCAGCAGAGCTTAAGGAGCAGAAGGACCTAGTTAAGGTAGTAACTAAGAAAGCGCAAGTCACTCGTTGTCTGATCATTCTAGCTAGACGTCCCAGTATTTACTACTATAACACCAAAAACTGGGAAATTAGCATTGCGCAAAATAACCTTGCTATGGTTGGCCACCATTGCATTCCCGGCCCATGATGCGAACTGCACCGAAGAGCTGGACTACGTGTATTGATAAGGTACCCTGGCAATGCCAGGTTTCGAGAGCGGACTGGAACCTGGCCCGCTCTCAACTCGCGTGCAGTCCACCACCCCAGCAGACATGGTAGACGCCTTCTAGATGCCGTCTGAAGCCAAGTGGTATAGTCAACCTTGGAACACGTGTGGCCGATGTACAGCTTGGCAGGCTCTACATTCCAGCCTCCCAGCACTCCAGCTTGATCCATGTGCAGCCTGAACCGCGGTTGATTGCCCCTATATTCATTGTTGGGTCTGTGGCGACCGACATCCTGGGAAGCCCGAGTTCAGACCTTATGGTATACCGCGGAACCACGAAATGATCTACCTGCATAGGCTATACTTTGGGGGCCCAGAGCTTTCCCAACAGAAGGCATTCCCTCGGCAGTCGAATGCAGTGCATGCAGCAGGATACGAGGCACCCTGGCTGGCCACCCTGGCTGGCGGAAGGAGTACTTGCCCGGCCTCGCAAACTAGACTCAAAAGACAGCTTCCAGTTCAAGGTGAAAGTGCGTCCTGTGCTTTGGCATGGATTTATGTATGGTCAATTTTTGCCCGTCTGTATTTCCTCACCTCCCTGGCCTGCGAAGCAGGTTTTAGTTGGTGGAAATACCCAACTCTTGTCCTCATGGGCCCTTCCAAGTGTCGAGCGTTAAAGGACTTACTTAGGTATCACTGTAGGGCAGTGTGCGCGAACGGCGTGGAAATATCAGGTTGACCTGGCCAGTCTCGTGCAGGCCGCAAGGTACCTGGGGGTTCCTCTCCTGTCCGGATTCGTTACGGACTGGCACGGTAATTTGAAGAGATCCCCAGCACATGGTTGGATGCCGCAGGGGCTATCAAAGTTGACCGCGGCATCGATACCACCGAGGACCGGCAGTTCAAGCAGTCAGGCATGAAGGCTGGCACCAAGATCAAGTTTTGTGTCAGACATCCTATCCCTGACCATGACACGAAGACCATTACAGAGAATGGCGGCTTTTTTGCATGGACGATCGAGGGCGGGCATCTTGCTCCCGCCGCTTCGACCAATCCATGGATGACAATCTGGTTACCTATCAAGATCAAGTCAAGATCAACCCCAGCAAGCACGACCGAGTCGTGATGGTGCGTACAAGGCGTCGGGAAGGTCAAGCACCTCAACATCTTAATCTCATACTTCAATGCCTATCACTCGAGGCCGGCCCTGGACATCACAGCACGGTACAAGAATATCAGCGGTGGAGGCTCTCGTTGTGCACGGTTAAAGTAGGTATAGGGACCGACGAAATGCGGGAGATCAAGGCCGGGGCCATCTAGGTAGAGAGAATCGGGCACTACAGCAGCCCAATGGGACAGAATGCCACCAACCATCAAGGCCAGGCCAAGCTTGCTGAATGGCAGCGTGTCGCTTTGTTGAGTTATCCGGCAATGCATTCAGCGAGTAGGTAGACAAGGACAGGCTGAAGGAACCGAACGAGCAGGAAGGCAAGAGCACTAGTCCACTCTTCTCAGCCTATTTGCAACATCTAAGACCAAGTCAAATGGAATAAGCGAACAGGAAGACGACGATACTAGTCTTATCAGCCTCTTAAACTATAGAGCTAACCTGCTTGCAGCTCCCACACCAAAAAGCAGGGCCCCGAAGCTGAAGGCTGTACTTCCGCGGCGGCGCTAAATCATGGGATGCAGTTGGATTGGGCCTATGCATGCCCTTCTTGCTAGCCACTTGGCACACGGTCTGCAGTTAAGCTACCAATATAAGGAATATGGGAGGCACCCCCGCCCCAACTTTTATCTCGTTCTAAAAGCCCGCGCCACCTTGCCCTAGATCAATGAAGCCGTGAAGAGCATCATGTTAGCCCCCAGGCACACCGTATGGTATCATTACCGAGGTGGCCACTTCAGAAGCCAAGTTCTAAGCCAGCGTCGAAGTGTCAAAAAGATAGGTATTCCGCCCGAACAGGACACAGGACTGCATGTGAGGAAGATCCAACCTTCGGTTATACGGTGGAGGATGAAACTGAAATGCTACAAACGACCTGACCTGAACCCAACAAGCTCCAGAATTACTAATAACTTGCATATCACATCGCAGGCGACAACACCGCGGTTTCTGCTTTGCTTTACAACGAAACTCCAGGCAAACAAACCCTACCTAAAATAGAGGGTCAACCCTAGCAGGGCGCCGGCGCAGAAAGACCCTGCTGCAAGCGTGGCTTTCCCGACGCAATGACTCACAGACACATTGACAGCTTACTGGATTGTACATTGCAGCCAGCCCTGGTCACAGCATCAAGCGAGCCGCAGCCGCCTTAAAAAGTGGATATTTAAAAGGTTTTAAGGACAACGTTTCTAGAACACACCATACATACCGCTTTCAAAGTAGCATCCTGCGATAACACAATAGAAGGACGCCGTGGTCCGCTAGAACTAGTCATCCATGGGTAAATGCCTCTTAGATAAATGGATGGACAGGGCCCTAGCTGCGGATCTGAAGCCGACATCTCGAAGGCCCTAGGTAAAGGCATTAACTGGAAAATGCTACCATAAACAGCTTCGCCCCTTGGTTTTCACTTTAAATGGCCAGCGCGTATGGGCGGCAAACATCGTATCGATGTGTAATTCTGAACACTCGATTTGATATATTCCATGGCTTTGAATATATTCTACGCGTCAACGGTTAGAAGCATGCTACCAGCCTACGTTGAGAATCTGGATATTGCTCTTCACACCGATGGACAGGTGGTCAGTTAAAGCCAACTACACTTTCTGTTGGAGGCGTCAAGGAGTACGTCGAGTGGGTGCAAATCTCATTGATGGAACGGCTCCAACGCGCTGGCTATCCTTCCACAATGCTGCGCAGGAATTACCGGAGTCATCCGGATATCGTGGCTTTTTTTAAACAGGGTTATCTACAAGAATAAGCTGATTCCTATGGTCGATCCAAAGGCCTATACGGAAGTCGGTTTTGTCTGGGATGATTGGACAAGAACACAACCGGCATTTGCCCAAGCCGGGTTGGAGGGCAAACGACGTCTTTCCATCACAGACTCGTCCGTTGCCAAGAATCCCGAGAACAGCTCATCCTGGCACAATGAATCTCAGGCAGATGCTGTTCGTGGGTTTCTTTAAAAAGGTCCTCGCTCACCAAGTAGCCCGCGCAGAAACTATTGACGGCGAGACCTACAACGTCACGAAGAGCATTCGGGGGGAGGATGCCCTAGCTTGTAGACGCTGTCTCAAGTTGCTAGAACTCATGCACAAAGACGAGAACGAAGGTATCTACACTTTTGCAGGGGAAATGGCTTTGCAAAGCGCATACTCTCGGGTGGTGGAAGTCGTCCTCGCTGATGCTAACCTTAAGTTGTTGCCACAACCTGCGGGAATGCATACAGAGAAGGACTGAAGTCCTTCGATGCTCAATACATGCTGATCGACGAGGCCGGACAGAGTTCAGAGTCCGATACCTTGATTCCTTTTACCATGTTTAAGAACCTTCGCGGCCTCACGCGTTGAGCGGAATGCTCGAGTTTGCCCAGTCAGCGCATTTCTGCATTCCTTAAAATATCCCAAACCAACAACACGATATCTGTTCCCGTGGACTGGAGAGTCCTCCATCAATGGTGTAACTGTAAGTCCCACACAGCTAGAACCACCCTTGGAACAATTGTGAACTATTGTTCCCACAAGGCTTCAGCCACCGTCTAAGTGGACAAAGCATAATCCCGATAAAGTTCAAATCGATCCTGCGCTATTGGCAGTGCCGGGTTTTAAGATCGTGCATGGCCTACCGCAGCTGAAAAGCCTCCTATGCGCCGCGCGACTCAACCGCAAGAGGCCTCATGACATGGACAAAGGAAAAGACTGAGTTATACCTGCATAATAGCTAAGGGGCTTTGATAAGGAGAGATATGGAGTGAGCAGAGGCTTTTATAAGAGGGACAATTCCACCAGGGCTGCATGGGTCTTGATCCACTGGGGCTGTTGCCTAGCGGCTAGTTGGTCCTAGCCCTGGCCGTCTTCTCCCATAATGATGAGATCATGACCATGTCTACATTTACTATACTCAGTTCCGGCTGCAGGGAGTGTGATAAGGACGAGGAATATGCAACTCCCCATGATGGTGAGGAGGGGAACTTTGACGGGAATTGGAAAAGGCCTCAGTCATGCTGCTCTTCCCCGGCCAAGGATAGGGACGAGGTGGCCGGCAACAGCTTGTGCGCGTCAATCAGCGTGTAGCAGCGCTCATGGAAGAAGGGAGACAAATAAACAGCCCAGACCAGGTGATCGTGAGTGTTCACTTGTTCCTCAGGTAAATATTGACTTGCTTAGTGGTTTGCTACTATAAGGTGGTAGCAAGTTTTGCCATATCCCAATTCATCAATCACATCGAGCCTGAATTTTTATAGGAAGGGATAAAACACTGTCCTGTGCATTACAGAACGATATTACCGCCCCTCGTGCGTTGCTAAGGCTACCTAGCTATTTACACGCTTTTTGCTACCACCATCTCAAGAATCTGGCATGTCATTGGCAATGCACTGCGTCTCAGCGGTTGCCCCCCGTTCTCAGCCTTGGGGCATGGTTTCACTGCGTCCGAAGTTCTCTTTGGATCGACTATCCGTAAAGGAGAGCCAATCACAACGGAAGAACTAGTTCGGGAGTTCGTAGGAGAGAATCCGCGTTCTTAAGGATGCAGCAAGCTTTCAATACGCAGGCGGAGGATCCCTGAAAGCCTTGATCAAAGTCCCGGTCGACGTTCGCGCTATGGATCACTTGCGCGATGTTATACTTAGTTAGCGAACTTGGGCGCCAGTCCGATGCTTATCCTAACGGCACGGTGTGGTAGTTAGGTATTCCAATGATAAGGTACGGCAGGGTTAAGGCTTATTAATGGAAGCTTTGGCTGCCTGAGCCGGAAGTGCTCGCTTTCTCCCAGTGATACAAGGTTTGACTTTCGCGCTCCTTCAGTCTGGACTTTTGTTGGACTGAGAAGCCATCTGCGTTCTCTGCCCTGCCCTGCTTCTCAACTCAGTTGGTCCCTCGCTTTATAATACTCAATCTGGATGACGTTACCAGGAGTGGCCTGGTTTGGTCATCGAGGCTGCCAGGCTGCGCGATGGGCTTTTTGCCCCGCAGAATACACGTTTTAAAAAGGGTGTTAGAGTTCCACGTGGACGTATGGGCATGGATCTGCTGAATAGACCTTTGTTGCTGGAAGAGGCCTTTACCCACAATCCCACTAAAGACACCGTAAAGGCTTTTGTAAGCATACCTAATCAACAAGTTTGTCATACAACCAAGGCCATTTAAGGCCAGAGTACCGCCTGTACACCGCGTCGCCTTTACCTCATTCTACCATTACTTCATGGTAGCAGTCCCACCGGTCCAGCAAGAGTTAATCGGCCTAAAGCTTTTTCCAGTGGGATCCCTATGCCGCCTGTGTCGTGGCCCCCAGCACGGCCCCGGCTGGGCCTTGCGGTCGCCAAACAGTAGGCTACGCCGTCCCTAACCGGCTCCCTAGGGGTACCCTCCGCCATTCAGCGAGAGGATAAAGTGCGGTTTTAGAATTATATTAGAATAACCACTTGCATTTGCATAATATCCTGATCCAGTCCATTATTACTCTGGTGTTGGGTTACGCAACGGAAATCCCGCTCAATCTGGACGTCCCAGAAGATGGATTTGTTGGAGCGTAGTATACTGCTCGCCCCACTATAGCCCTCGCCTATTAGCTTAGTTAGCTATACTAAGTATAGCTTTATTATTATAGCCTAGCTAAATATAATTTTTAAGCTTTTATTTTTAAAAGGTTATATGCCCTAGGTAATTTTTTTTATTAAAATATTATATTTATTTATATATAACTACTTTTTTTATTACTACCTTTTTTTAAAATTTATTTACTTTAAATATTTATTAAGTTAAAAATATTTTTATATAATATTAAAATTTTTAACTACTTAATATAAATTTTTTAATTACTTATTTTATATAATTTTTATACTATTCTTATATATTAAGGCTATATAAAAATTTATTTATAATATAACTAATATTATTATTATTATTTTTAATTTTTATAAAGTTATTACATGGCTTAATAGTTAAAAAAACTATTATTTATAATATAAATTTTTTAAAATTATACTTTAATTTAAACCACCTTATTTTTAGCTTATTATTATTAAAAAAGTTTTTTTTTTATAAGTATTTACTAAAATAAGCTATTATTATTATAAAATATATTAATAAAAATAACATGGCTTAGGATTAAGTTACTAAGCTTATTATTAAAAATTAAATTAATATTTAAATTTTTTAAAATATTAAAATAAAAGTAAAGCAAGGGCGCTAAATATAATATATTTTTTTTTATTATTATTTTTATAATTAATACTTTATATATAATATATAAATTAAATTTTTAGCCTTTAAAGTATTACCTAGGCTTTTTATTACTTATAAAAGCTATATAACTTATTTAGCGCTAGCTTTTTTTTAAAAAGCTAGTAAATACTTAATATAATAAAATATATTAATTAGTAATTAAAATAATTTTTTATAAAATTTAAAAATATTATTACTAAGCTAATAATTATTTAAACCCTTAATTAATAAGTTATATAATATTTTTTTATTATAATAATTTTTAACTTATATAATATATAGCCCTTTATTACTTAGCTATATATAATATTTTATTAAAGTATTAATAATATTTATTTACTTTTTTTATAGTTTAAACTTAACTAAATATAAATATTTAAAATTACTTATTATATTATTAATACTATTAGCCACCCTAGTTATAATAACTTTATTTTTATTAAAAATTATAGTATTATATGGTGTATATATTACTAGTTATATAATATTTTTTTTTTTACCTGTGTTAAAAATCTAGTAAACACCTAGTTATAAAATAAAGGTAATAACTTTAAAAATACTAGCGCTAGCGCCTATTAAGGCCGCGGCGGCAGATTTAAATACTATAAAAAAAAGGCTATAATATCTTTACTTTTATAAATATCACGCAGGTAAAAAATATTACTACTAGTATTTTATAATAATTAGCTTAGGAATTAACTTAAGGTTCCTTATTAGCACCTTTACCTAATACTTTATAGGCCTTTTTAGGTGCTAATACTATTAATATTAACTTTAACTTTATATATATAAACTTTATATTTATATAACTAGATTTTAATACTAATAAGCTAAATCTTTATATTAAATTAACTTATATAAATATTAAACTAGCTATTAATAATAATTAAATACTTAACTTTAATACCTTTTATTATATAATATACTTTAAATATAACTTTATATTATTTTAATACGCAAGAGTTTTAATTAAAATAATTAATAATAGCAAGTTTTTTACTAAAGGCTATAGTAATATTATATTAGGTGTTATTAATAAGTTTAATATAAAATAAATTAAAAGTTTTTTATTAAAAAATATTTAGTACATGCCTAGCTTAGCTTATAATTTACTATTAATTAAATAATTTATAAATAATAATATTTAGATAATATTTAATACTAATATTATTATTAAACTTATATAATATAAATCCTTAGTTATATACACTACCTTGCTTAAATCTTATTATTATTTTTATTTAAATATTAATATTTTTTAAGGTAATTACCACGCTTGTAAATATTTTTATACTTAGTTAAAATATAATTTTACCTAAGGGTTTAATAATAGCTAGGGTAAAGGTTTTTAATAAAGTAATTTTTATATATTTAGCTTATTAATAAACTGCCTATATATTTAAAAAAAAATTAAAATTTTTTTAATATATTATTAGCCTTAAATTATATAAAAGCTAGCTAGTTAAATAATATAAGCTATGTATTATTAGTAAAAAAATAATATTTTTTTTAATAAAGTAAAATTTAACTAAAAATCTTAGCCGCTGGCTAGGTAATATTATATATATAAATATTTATAAGTTTATATTACTACATGGGTAAACAAGCGCCTTATACTTTATTATATTTATTAATAAGGCCTCCTAGTTTTATTAGGTATTTATTATAAAAAAAAACTTTTTAGAAAATTTCTTTAACTTTGCAACTAGCTATAAATATAACTAAAGTTAAAAATAAAATTAATACTTTAAAACACTAACCACTTAAGTTATATTATAAAGACTATAATATTATTTTTAATCCAGCACTAAAATATTACTTAGCACTAAACTTAATTATTAAGGTAAAAAATTATTATATTATTAAACTAATTATATTTATTATAATAAAAAACTAACTTTTAAAGTTTTTTTAAAATTATCTAGTTCTTATTATTATTTATATTTATAACTATTTTTACTATAAAATTATTAGTAAAACGCCTTATAAAGCGCTTAATAAAATATAACCTAATAT